CCACCAAGGAGTCCCCTGTTTAACAATCCCACTAAAACATCAGAGAACGCAAACGACCCTGACCAGCCCGGCCACTCAGATTTACCCCCCATCCTGCCCCCCTGTCTGGCCTCTGTCTGACTCACAGTGGCATTGGGACTCTGAGCCCCACCCCTTCCTGGGCCTCTCCTGCCCCACCCAGCCCCTCTGTCTCTTGCCCGAGCCAGAGTCCCGTCCGACCATCCTGGAGAGCACTCACTGGCACAGCGGTGGGGTCACATGGGCACTGCTCCCAGCTGAAAGCTGATTGGTCCCCACAGTGCCCTCTCCCCTGTCACTCATTGATTCAAAGCATATCATTGGCTATTGATAAGGTTCGCCCATCTGTACGAATTATAGCCCCTCATATGCTCCTTTACAAATACTACAATAGCCCCTGTTGCCATTCAGCTGCTGGCTGAGGAGAGCAGCCGGTTTTCTGGCGGAATTGGAGCTATATTAAGAAGAATCGATAACGGACGCTGCCGCGTCCCATCCCACGAGCAGCATTTATTTCACATTTATGCTGCTAACCCAGATTAGCGGGGCCCCCCGGGGTCTTTAAGGATCTTCTTTAGGTGGCACCACGGGGCGTGTCATTACGGGATTGATTTTAGAGAGGAAGCACACATTATCTCTCCATTAGGATGCACAGAGCACTTTGTGGGACGTCTGTGAAGCTGCGGCCTGTTAGTCCGAGAGGCGACTCCTCCGGGGAGGCCGCCGGGAATTCCCTAAGGCAGCAGATCGCGGGGAAGAGCCCGGCTCACCTCAGAGGTACAGAGGCTCACGTGTCGGTACCGAACTCAGTCATCGGATCAGGCCCAGGGCTGAGGGTGCTGCTATGGAGTCAGGTTCGAAGCGAGTGCGACACCCGGAGGCTCTGGCATCGCGGGGATCAGAGCCAACTGACCGAGCGACCTGACTCCAAAATGTGGGCGGGACTTCTGCCAAAGCGCAGGTCCAAGGGGCTCGAGGACTCGAGCTTGGGTAGCCGTCCGTGGTTAAACCCCAAAAGCGTGGAGCGGCAGCCAGGACTGCAGGAGGAGTGAGCGGGTGGGGCTCCGGCCTTCAAGGTTTCCCACACCCATGTGAGAATGTGTGTGTGTCGTCCAAGAATATATTACATTGTGGGGACCAAATGTCTCCACAAGGTGATAAAAACCAATTATTTTGACGTTTTTCGGTCCTCACAAGGGGAAATTAAATTTTAGACAAATTTGCACTCAAAAAAAATCTTCCAAAAGGTTATTTATGGTTAAAGTCAGGACTGTGCAGGGGTTAGGGTTGTCATAGAGGGATTAGGGTTATGGCCATAGGAATGAATGGACAGCCCCCACAAAAATCTGAGTACAGGTCTTTGTGTGTATGTGTGTGTGTGTGTGTGTGTGTGTGTGTGTGCGAGAGCTACCAGCCAAATAAATAACGAGGGGGACCAGTGAGAACCCAGGGTGGGGAGGCCAGCCAGCCATCCGGTGGCAAAGTGGCCCACTAAGCCCCCCCAGACACTCAAAGGCAGACAACTGCTGGACAACCAACCCCCGCAAGCAAATCAGACAGAGAAGGGGGTGCAGAGCTAAGGCAGAGGGGTAAAGGGGGCATTGTATTTGTGTATGGGGGGGGGGGGCAGGGGTAAAAGCGCGGTGGCGCGGAGTCAGAGATAGCAGAGTATTAATTATGGATGGCTGGAATCCTGCCTTTTTCTTGCAGCAGGTTCAAGGAGGGGGGCTTTGGGGGGAGTGTGAGGACCACTGTGCTGACGGCCCATGCACACACACACACACACACACACACACGCACGTACACACATGCACACAAAGACGTGTGCTGGTCCCAGGCTCCATGCTGTCCTCCCCAGCCCCCCACCCACATCCAGGAGCTACCACCTCAGACACTCTGGACATGCCCTTACACACAAAAAGCTGCTGTGAAACACTCGGGCTTTGTGTGTTTACACAAGTGTCCCAGCACTGCAAACACGAGCGTGGGACTGCACGCACGGCACCATGTGTCTCTTTGAAAGCAGCCCTCTCCCCCCACCACCACCTTGCTGTTCATCGGATGCCTCCTAGAGGACCTTTGGGGTCTCCAGTGGGG